CCAGAGCTTCATCTGTTCTGCCTACTACACAAGTTGCCATGTTACTTGGATAGGATTTCTGGGCACAGAGAGAATGACGTCGGCAAGTGTGACAACACAGTGTAAAGAGCACCGGATCTACAGCTTTTTAATTTACTGGGACCTCAGTTTCCCCATCTGTAAAATGAAAGCTTTGGAACATGTGCTCTCTATAGTTCCTACCAGTTTTCAATCCTGTGATTCTGGAAGTGTCCTCCTATTCCCAGACAAAAAGGAGGAAAGATATTTAGATTAGTGTATGGGTTAACAAGGGGGGAAATAAGGGGAAAGGGGATAGAGATGGTACAGGGAAAGAGATGGGAGACAGGTAGGCACCCGGGGGTGGGAATTCTTTTACTAATGCACTGAGGACAATTGAGGACTAATATTATGGGGACGGCTGCGGGAAGCACTTTACAGCAGCTACACTCAAACTAGACAACCTTTCAATCCATTTATCAAAGTGTCTACAGTTCCCGTTTCAAGGCAGATGAAGCAATAATAAATTTGTGAAGAAAGTTAATCTGTGTCCAAAGCATTTTAGTAAATTAAAAAGAGGGGGGGCAGATGGGGGATATATTGGTTCTTGCCAACTCTGATTTGACTTACTGTCTGCTTAATAAGTTCTCCCTGGTCTTGTATTTTTGGATAGAATAATCAGCCGGTTAATCATTTTCCGGAAGCTAAAGAATGCTCTCTAGCTAATGCAGTTCTCGATTCTTCCAGGACTTTAATCATTTTTAAAATGTACTGAATCCTTTCCCCTACTTTCCATAAGCCCATTTCCTAGCTCTCTCCTTTTAGTAACCTGCAAAGAGTGCCCCTTGTAATTCATGATTCCCTTAGAAAAGACTGTTAGGCTCCTAGAATCATAGAGTTGAAATGAACCTTGGAGGTCATCTGATCCAACCACTTCCATTTTACATGTAAGGAAATTGAGACCCACAGAGGTTAAGTGACTTGCCTAGGGTCACACAGGTAGTAAGTTCACATGTTTCTTCATTTTGGCAGAAAAAATCCTGTTTCTGGGGCACTCTCAGAGTTTTTCTGCTTCTCTCTCCATGAAACACCCTTGCCATGAAGGGTGAGCCACTAAAAAACTTAGCAAGCAATTGTCTAGAAATAGTCTCCTGGGCAAAATGGATAGAATTTGTTATTTTTATTTAAGCATCAGTTAAAAGTAGCTGCCATGGTCTTTCTCAAGGCTGGTGCTCCTCAACAGCTCAGTGTTTTGGAATCAAGCTGAGATAAACATGCTATTAGTGGCCCTCACAAAGGCCCTGCTGTAATTATGAAGGGACAGAAAATGAAGCCTGTAGCCCTGAACTTTCTTCCCCACCATATCAGTAACCCTGTTACAGCTGTCAGTTTGTCACACCAGTAGAGGTATTTATGAAATCAATAGACAGCCCTGCAGATTGATGGCAGCGGTATTGTTATCCAGAGAAAAAATAGCTCAATGGAAAATAAAATTAATAAAATTTACAAGCAGATTGTCATAGGGAACAGATGAATTTCCTACAATTTCCTGTTTGGTTGGACTTTGGGAAAGTGATGCTGGGCTGTAGTCGTGTAAATTAGGCTCATTAGTTATGAATAGGGCTAGGCATCTTGCTCAACTAGGGGGATTTGATTCCAAAGGTGATCTTCCACAAGAAAATATTTAGCAAAAACCCAGTGTGTACTTTGTTGGGTCCTGACTTCTTAGTGAAGCTCAGAATTCTACTTGTGTCAGCATCTTGATTTCAGCCATTGTATAAGGTCAACTCTTCTTTGCCCGAGCAGTACCACCCCAACTCTCCCTCATTTCTACAGCTTAGCCCTTCTTCCAGAGCTACTTAGCCCAAATGACTTCTGCTCCATGGTATTCCTGGCCCCACAATGGCAGATGGCAGCTTTTCCTTCATTGCCTGCCCCAGATTGAGGGTCCAAGTGTTTATTCTGAAGTATCCCCCATAACCTGCCCTGATATCTCCTGTTCTCTTTCACCAATTTAATGATCTTTTAGCCATTTGGGTGCCTCAAGACCCTCTTCATAGTGGAGGAGACAGCAAGAACAAATATGGGAGGCTGTGGGGGGTGTTGTTTATCAGGTTGGCTAGGGAGGTCAGCTTCTGTTTGATTGGGGCTGAAAAGAGGCTTGTCTCCCAACAGTGCAGTCCCTCTGTGAGTGCCTGAAGGAAAACAATTGTGGCTGCTGGGAGCCCTGGGTGTAGACTGAATGACTGGGATAAATTGAATTAGTTTGATGACAAGAACTCAGTCCCCCTTTCTCCTTAGGCCTGATGGAAAACAGTGGAGTGCTCTCAGTGACACTTTCTGACCCCAGTGTCATCGTGGGTTTTTGTTTAGGGGCCAACTCCAGGCTGGAGCCCTACTCATTGAATCAAGCTGGCCTGGGGGAGGCTGGGGTAGAACTCATTGTAAGTCCAAATTGACTTAAACAGATGCAGGAAAAAAGGAAAATGAATTTAAGATGGTGAACCTCCTATCATTGCACCCTAGAAGTCACAATGACCTATGACTATCACCCAAAAAACAAAACCGAATCCCCAGTGTGAGCAGTGCCTGGCACAAATGAACATATCTAAAAGTGGTTCCAGTGAGCATCACTGAGAATGATTTAGACATCTGAAGCATCTCAGCACCTATCTAGGTATGGGAGAAAGAAAGTCATTTGTTTGTTTGTTTTTTTATTTTTCAACCCACCTTCTTTTTCTTCCATGACTTTTTGGGTTACTATTGTTATTTAAAAGAGTAAAAATAACAAGTTTTCAGTGAAGATTGATCACTGTCATTTGAGTGGCAGGAACCCCTTGAAGGCATATCTGGATAGAGTTTTGCCTTTTTCATAGACATCTTTCAAAAATCAGTGAATTTTAATTGGGAGTTCAGAGGTGACTATGTTTACATCCTCCTTTCTCAGAGTAGATTTTCACTCAGATGCTTCAGTAACCTGTCTTTATTGAAGAAGCTGTTGTGGTTAGGATATGGCACAAATGTATGGCAAGGTCACCTTCTTTATGGAATTTACATGTAAATCCGATAGGTCTGTCCTGGGTGATAAAAGGGAAAAATTAGAAGAGTCTAAAGAAGAAGTTTTAGATTCTAGTCCCAGGTTTGTTGGCAAGTCACTTAATCCTCGGGATCCTCATTGGGAAAAAAGGCATGAGAAACAACATGGCATTGTGGCTAGAGGGCTGATCTGAGAGTCAGGAAGACTTGGGTTTAAGCCCTGCCTCTGACATTTATAATTGTTAGGTGACCATGGGTAAGTCAATTAAACCCTCAGTGCCTCTGCCAACTCTTTGAAACTATGAGTTTGAGACATAGTACCAATCTGCATCAGCAGAGGGATTTCCATACCAAGAGTTCTCCACACCAAAAAACTCAGAGGTCACAAGTCCGGAATTCCTCTTAAAACTAGTAAAACAAATTAACTGGAATAATAACATCTGTCCTGTCCAAGGATCAAAATGAGGTAACACAAAATCACTTTAGAAAATGTAGAACATTGTACAAGTATAAGATCTTACTATGATTATTGAGTCTTTTCAACTCTCCACTGAAATCTGAAGCAGTTCTTAGGAGAGGTAGTATGGTGTAGTGGATAGAGCATTGGACCTAGAGTCAAGAGTCCTGAGGTTGGAATGCAACTTCAGATACTAATTAACTGTGTGGACTTATGCAGAGCAATACACCTCTCTGGGCCTTGGTTTCTTCTTTTTTAAAATGAGAGGGCTGGACCAGATAATCTTTAAGGGCTTCTCTAGCTCCAAATTTGATTCCATATATGACAGTGCTATTGATTAAAAATGTTTCCTATTTGTATTCAGTTCCCACCAATATCCCCAATTACTTTTCAACTTATTTAAAATATATTTTGTAATTACTCAGGTACATACACGTTGTGTCTACCCACTCCCCACCCCAGGAGAATGGAAGCTCCCTGAGGGCAGTAACTGATTTCACATTTATCTTTGTATTCTCCACGCCTAACATAATGCCAGCTACATAGTAGGCATTTGGTGGGTGCTTCCTGAATTCAATCGAACTGAATTAAAATAATTCCACAGGCTTGATTCTTTCAGAAAATTTTTGTGTTATTCTTAGAAAAGGCAACTAAGACCTCATGGGCATGCTCGTAGATGGAGGGTAATAGTCCTAGGCCACTCTGCATTTGGTAGAAGTCAAACTGCTAGACTGGCTATCCGTTATCCGCCTAAACAGAAACGCTGTTAGTCGTGTTTAGCACTAGCTCAGCTGCCACTGCAACCTCTACTTGGGGCAGGTTTGCTGAAATGCTATTTGAATTCATCATTCTTGTCAATGAGAAAGTCAGGAGTGGGGGATGGGAAGGGGGAGAGGGAACGTGTCTGGGGGAGGCATCTCGATATTTTTTTTAGCATCTTTGCTCTGTTACTTGACAATCCCCACGTTTCCCCTACCCCACCCTTGGCTGCACAGTAACTGTCATGGGGTTGCCTGTATCAAGGTGGTCCTTCACCAGCAGCCACCAGAAACTAAGACTATCCAGCAGGTCGATTGTCTTTGGCAGCTGCTGTGTTCTGGTTCCAAGTGACAAAGGAAAAGTGGTGAGATTAGTAAAAGACATGGGAGGCGGGGATGAGGAGTGCTAAAGACTGACAAGGCAGCAAGGGGCCCGCACTGGGAGGTGGAATAAACATGGAATTGGGTGCCTGGTATAACAAATAGTTCAGCAGCTCATGGCCTGGAGGTGGGGGACCACCCACACTGTGCAACCAGGGAAAGCAAAGCTATGCTCTCTGCCCGGTAACCGTTCCAACAAATGCTGTAACTTACCGAACAATGTGGGTGTTGGGTCACCGAGCCAGAGACTAAACAATCTGGAAAGCACGTTTGACTGTGGCTAAAGACGCCATGGGTTTTGTTATCTTAATGTGATGCAGATAAAGCAAGGGTCTTGGTGATTCACGGGATGCTTCTCTTCCCTTGTTTAGAGATCTGAGCGAGAACCAGATTCAGGGAATCCCAAGGAAGGCTTTCCGAGGCATCACCGATGTGAAGAACCTGTAAGTGATGTTCAAATTATTTGTTCTCCTGACGTATGTCCTTTTCTGTTGTGGGTATGAGGAGGTCATTGAAAACTCAGGGTACTGGGGGCAGGGGATGGAGAGGGAGGAGGAGTTGTACTTGTATCTATCTCCATGCATTTGTTCGACATTTATTAAATACTCACTGGGTGCCAGGTACTATGCAAGGTGCTGGCAATACAAAGGTGAAAAATAACCCAGTCCTTCATCTCCATGGACTCATAATGGGGAAGACAGAATGTATATCAGGAATCTTTTACACTTAAGGCCCCGTGAAAATAGATTCAGGGCTTTTTGTCAAGTGCTCTCCAAAGGCTGTACTTTAAATTCCACAGCAGGTGTACAAACCAGGTCAGTTGTTTTACTTCTTTTTTTTTTTGAGGGGGAGGGTCATTATTCACTTCTTCCCTCATCACCTGGGGGTCATGTTCCAGGTCCTTGAGAGTACTACTTGGCCTTCTACAGAAGAGGAGGTAGCATCCTTGACTAGATCAGTTGCAGTGGCCCAGTATCGAAAGAATCACATGACAGCCTTTGTCAAGGGAGTCTCCTCTAGCCTGACTCTTTATCATCATCTCTCAACCGTTTATTTCATGCTTCTCAGAGTGATTTTGCAAGTGTCTCTACTTGTCAAGTAGACTGCAGACACCTTCCGAGTTCTTCTGTGTTGTCTGCCCAAGCAACTGTTTTCCATATGTGTAGAATACATATGTCAGGTTTGGAGATGAGCACTGAGAGATGGTCTGGTTTCCATATACAAACATGTCTGCCAGTTGGCATCCCCACAATTCAGGGGCAGAACACTCCACTTCCAGGGATGAGTTTTTTATGACTCCCAACTGTCACTTTCTCTATAATTAATGTACAGATTTTCAGTTTACAGAGATCCACTAGGGAAGTAAGTGATGACTTCCAGATTCGTGCTATCAGCCCCTACATTGCCAAGAAAGATATTGCTTAAGGTTTAAAGCAAAGTTGGTATTTTACATACGGGCTAAGATGAAGAAATGAGAGCAGGAGATGTGTCAAGGTGGAAAATAGAGGTGTCTGCAGGTTCTTGGAAATAGTAAACCCATGTGGACTATCGGGACAAACAGTAGCTGTGTAATCCTGGACAAGGCACTTACCACTATCTGCCTCAGTTTCCTCATCTGTAAAATGGGGACAATAACATCACCTTCTTCCTAGAGTTGTTGTGAGGATCAAATGAGATGATAATTGTAAAGCACTTAGCACAGTGCCTGGAACATAGTAAGTACAGATAAACGTTAGCTGTTATTATCATTATTATTATTTTTATTTGTAGAGAACCACGACTGGGCCACAGAAGGGCCAAAAGAGAGGTGTACAGCCAAAGAGATGTAGGTCAGACATAAGAAAAAACTTCTTTGTTATAGCGGTTGCTTTCTTTTTAAGAAAACCTGGTACAGGAAAATATAAACTTATAAGCTATCTAAACAGTGCTTTCAGGTTTACAAAGAAAAAAAAAAGGTTTACAAAGCACTTTACATTTCTTAACACATATGATTCTCACAACAACCCTATCATGGAGGTGCTATTATTATCCTCATTTTACAAATAAGGAAACTGAGGCATAGAGAAGCCCAGTGACTTGCCTAGGGTACACAACTAGGGAGTGTCTGGGCACTATTTGAACTTGGGACTTTTTAACTCCAAGTCCTTTGCTCACTATACTGTGCTACCTAGCTTCTAATAATCCTCTATCTTTGTATGTAGCACTTTTAAAATTTGGAGGTTTTATAACATTTTGTTCTTCAGTGTTTCCAGGGACTAGTGAGTGTCCACAGCAACAAAATAAGTCCATAAGCTAAAGTATTTATGTGAAAGTCATAGGCTTTTGGTATTAGAAAGGATCTCAAAGATCATTAGTCCAAACTTTCATAGAACAGGTGAAGAAAATGAAGCCCGGAGAGGGGACATTACTCCCCTAACATCTGAAATCTACTTAATATCAAGGCTAGACTTAATTAATATTATTTAATTCCACACAAATCAGCGAGCAAAAATTGTGTACTGCAACCCTTTCTAAGCAATTCCCTAGAACTAATCATTTCAGTTAAGTACTTAGCAAACTGATAACAATCCATCAATCATCCTCCATCTTGCTAAGTCTACATAACATTACTAGTATCTCAGCAGTCACTCCAAGGCAGCAGAAGTGAAGGTGTCAAAGATAGCACTTCCTACTACAAAGTTTACTGCAAGAGCTAACCCTACATCCATTCTACTCCGTGGCCCCACATTTTTCCCTCTTCTTCAGAGAGAAGAACCAGGAAATGTCCTCTCACTTGGTTACACTTGGGGGATGGAGAGAAAATCCATTACTAACCAACTAATCAAATTAAAAGAGGGCCACACTTTTGATCAATTTGTCAATAAATACTTATTGAATGGTACCGAGTACATGCTGAAGCAATCTGCTGAGTTCTTTGGGAGTAAGATAATATGTGACCTCTGCCCAAAAGGGACTGGCATGTATATGTATAAAAAATATGTATATATGTATAAAAAGAGAGGTAATAGCATAATGCAGTGTATGAGGTATCATTTTTGGAGTGCAGCTACTTAATAATATAGGAATTTGGATAAGAAAAACATCGGTTTGGGGTGAGGCAGTCAGAGGAAGATTAGTGGAGAAGGCAGGACTTGAGTACCCCTTTTAAAAATGGGTGTACTTCAGAAAAAAAAAACCAAGATAAAGAATGAGGGGATGGTTGGATGGATGGATAGAAAGATAAAAAGACAGAGATAGATATACACATATACATAAATATATATACACACACACACGTATATGCATGTATGTGTATATGTGTACACATATATAGTGGAAACATGTAAGAAGTTTTGGGAAAAGCAAGCAAATCAATTTGACTGTAGTGTAGAGTTCATGTTGGAAAACAAAGTTGCAAAGGCAGTTTGGAGTTAAGTTGTGGAAAGTTTCAAATGTTAAGCTGAAGAGTTTGTATTTTATATCCTTGGCACTGGGGAGCCATTGAAAGCTTTTGAGCAGGAGAGTATGACATGATGAAATTAGATTTGAGAAGATTCATCTGTCTGAATCATGTAGGATAGATTTGAAGGGTAAAGAACAGAAGCAGTGATATTAAATTGAAGGCGATTACAGCAGTGCAGGCAGAAAGTGATAAAGGATAGTAGCATTGGGGATGGAAAGGATGGGGTGGATGTTAGCGATAAAAGAAAGAATCAACAAGACTTAGTCATTAGTTGAGTATGAGAACTAGGAGGAGAAAGGGAATCAAAAGCTAAATCTTAGGTTCTTAGTCTGAGTAACAAGAAGAATGATAGTACTACTTACTAAAGTGAAGAAGTCAGGAGAAGCCAGGGAAGATACAGATTTGATTTTAAACACAGTGAATTTGAAGTGACAGCAGGACCTAGAAGTAATAAATTATGATGCATTGAAAAGACAAATCCAAATGATATCAACAAATAATTAGGGCCACATAGAGGAGGATACCAGGGCAGTGGATTTAGATTCAGATGACCCGGCCCTGCTACTTACAACCTAGAAGACCTTAGACAAATCACTTCTACTCTTTGTGCCTCAGTTATCAAATCTGTAAAATGAGGGATTTAGAGTAGGTGACCTCTGAAGTCCACCCCCCAGCTCTCAATCTATAATCCTGTGATCTTGGAAAGACACTGAGCTAAGGAGGAGGGGGCATCTGTCCTAATGCTGTCTCTGACACTCTTCATGCATCCTTTCTTCATCTGCTAGAGACTAGATGCCGTGCCCCACCCTACCGCCCCCCAACCCACACAAACATAACTATTACTCTATCATTGTGAATGGAAATCGTCAGTAGGCGGTTGGAGATGCCAGACTGGAGCTTATTAGCAGAGATGTCAGAGCTGAAGATAAAAGATTTGAGTTCAGCGTTGAAGCTGCAAGAACACGTAAGACCTTTGAAGGAAAGGCTATGTAAGGCGTGTCCTTAATAGAGTATTGGAACTGGTAGGCACTTGAGACACCTTCCAGTCTGATACTCTCGTGATACAGATAGGCAAGCAAAACAAAATCAGGATAGTAAAGTTCCAAATTCAAATTTGTGTCTTATGAATTATCCTTTGCTGTAGATTATTCATTTCACTGTCATCCTTCAACTTTGTGGCTAATTAAGAGCTATCTACATTTGTTAGATTTTTTTTTCTAAGTGAGAAGGTCCTCTTAGCTCATCCTTGCAGCCATTGTCTTTCCCCAAGAAGGAGAAAGGAACAATTGTTCCCATTTCTTAGATGAGAAAACTAAGACCCAACCTGATTCAACAAATTAGCCAAACTTTAACAGGAAAGGAAAGCCTAAAATTCCTAGCCCAGATGGTGGCACAGTGGAAAGACCACTGGGCTCAAAGTCAGAAAGAACTGAGTTCAAATCTAACTTCAAATACTTATTAGCTGTGTGACCTCACATAATTTGCTTAAACCTCTGTTTGCCTTAGTCTCCTTAATTGTAAAATGAAGGTAATAATAGCACCTACCTCACAGTGTTATTGCAAAACTCAACTGAGACAGTATTTGTAAAAGCACATAGAACATTGCCTGGCACACAGTAGTTTCTGCAAATTCTTGTTCCCTTCCCTTTTCCCTTAAGAAAACAAATGATGTAGCAAGAGAGAAAGCAGACTGAATTGGGATAAGTTAGTGTGGGCATTAAATATCATTGGAAACACCTCTTTTTCCCAGGGCTGAGAAAGGATGTAAGCAATGTTTGTTTGCAGTGGGAGGACGGTCGCTAGTGTAATGGAGGAGCCGATGAAACTTTGAGCGTTGCCTCCCAGACGCAGGAAGGAAGCCCCTAATTGTTTCCTGCTTCAAAAGAGAAGGGAGAGAAAGTAATTAACACGGAATGCCACTCAGCAATTGCTAAAGGACAGAGCTGTTTTGTGGATAGCACTATCCTTCTGCTGCCTGGTTAGAGAAAGGAGATAGGGTGA